GGAGGGGGGAGTCACAGGCGGGTGCGCTTAGGGTGGGAGCTCGGCCGGCTAGTTACGGGTCTATAAACACTGCCCTTGCGAGCTTTGTCATACGTAAGAGTTTAAAATCTGAGTAAGCTTGAAGTCCTGTGAAATAAATTTCAGAATACTGCCAAACTAGTTTTTCTTCTTAAAGCACCTGTTGAAACGTTTATTAATCTGAAAGAGATGCGCTTTTCAGACTTCGTTTTATTACAGATTGGATTACGGCAAAGTAGGGTAGAAACTTCTTGTCACTGAAGCGCTCTCAGTCTTTAGGGTTGCGTACATAGGTTGCGTGCAGCTCAACAGCTGGTCTGTCAGAGTGCTTTGTCTGGTGTAACAGGTGATCTCTGCAGGCTGCATTGAGGCTTGGCGACAGCGGGAACAAGGAAAATGCCTCGGTGAACTGGTGCGAGGCAGCAAGGCCTGAATGCGCGTTGTCTTCAGAGTTTGCGTTGATGTTTTTCATGTGTTTACTTTAAAGCCTGGTTTCTTTATATCAGCTAAAAGAGTTTTTTTTTTTCTCTTTTCCTTTAGAGCAAAGAAGGTGCCATCTGTACCGGAAAGCCTGCTGAAGAAGCGGCAGGCTTATGCAGCTATAAAAGCCAAGCGTCAGAAGAAAATATTGGCTATAAAAAAGGTGAATATTTCATGACTCCTTGACTTGAATTGTTTATCTGTTGCGGTATCAGTTACTACCACTGATACAACGCAATACAGAAGTTTACAGTATTTAGGTCTAATGGGTTGATATTTTCTTAATATTTTGGACTAAAATATGCTTTTTTTTTTTTTTTCCGCCAATAACAGACCAGTTCTGGGCAGAGTAAGGGCAAAGTGTACAGTTTTCTATAAGATTAAAGTTGGCCTTCTACAAGGCAAGAGGTTATAGCCTTTGTGAGGGTAAGGTCGATGCATGATAACATTGTTCATGGTGAAGCATCACTGCTGTGTAAGTCTTCCAGATTCTGTAGAATATCACTGAGAGTGATTCTAAACTCCATGATATGGGCAGGTGTTCCTTAAATCTGTGTTATTTGTGGGAAATTCTAGAATGTCCTACATGATTTTAAGGTGATTTTGATGTGTTAAGAGGCATTGTATAATCCTAAGTAATTTTCAATTGGTTTCAGTTTCGTAAGGCGCAAAGAAAACTCATCTATGCAAGAGCCCAAGCTTACCACAAGGAGTACAGGCACATGTATAGGCAGGAGATCCGTATGGCCAGGATGGCCCGAAAAGCTGGCAATTACTACGTTCCAGCAGAACCAAAACTGGCATTTGTGATCAGGATAAGAGGGTAAGATTGAATATAGATGTAAACAATTGTATGTTCAAAAGCACTGAAATTGGCTTTCCTGTTACCTGTCTGTTTTGAGGGTTTAAATATGTAAATAAAATCCAGCCTTCCGTGGGTGGCATGGAAAGTTGTTGGCAGTAGTGTTGTACGTGCATCAGAGGCTTATTTAATTAAGTGCAAAATCCTTGTGCTGGCTGTGCCAGCTGTCTGAAGTGTTTGTTTAACTCTCCTTTGGTAAAACGTTAGAGAAAACTAACAAAAGGTGTGATTGGAAGAATTATGTTCAGGAGAGCACAAGAATAGTTCTGAATTCTTTCAGTGTCATGCTTATCTCAATTCTTTTAATTGAAATAGATCTGTTTTAACTTAATACTGAAATAGATAGCCACAGTAAATAATTCACTAAGCTTGCTTTGTAAAATAGTGGTGGATTTCATATGGGAACAATGCTATTGTGGGTTTTTTTTAACCTGATATGTAGTGTTTTCTGGGATGTAGATAATTGAGGCATATGTCCTATGTTCTCTAGTACCAATGGTGTCAGCCCTAAGGTCCGCAAGGTGTTGCAGCTTCTTCGCCTGCGTCAGATTTTTAATGGCACATTTGTAAAACTCAACAAAGCTTCTATCAACATGTTGCGGATTGTTGAACCCTATATTGCATGGGGGTGAGTGAAATGGCAACTTTTATCAAATCAGGGTGCAAATGCTGAGTGCCTTTTGCATTTGGCTATACTAGACTTGCAAGTTTTCCTTGTGTTCAAAATGTTTTTATGCCTTCTGTGTGCTTTCCCTGCTTTGAATTGAAAACATGATTAAGGCAGTGCTTTAAAGGGCAATGCTTGCTAGATATGATTACACTCTCATACTAGTGCTGTTGGGAACTTGGTATGAGTAAGATTTGCTTCTCTGTTGCTTTTGTATTTACAATTGGGACATGCTGAAATGATCTTAAATTGTTTGTTATGGAAGTTTCATTCGGGGATGTTAACTTGGAAGGTGGCTTGCAAAGACTAATAATTCTTTTTTTTTTAACATGACTGTTTCAGTTATCCCAATCTGAAGTCTGTGCATGAATTGATCTACAAGCGTGGTTATGGCAAGATCAACAAGCAGCGCATTGCTCTTACTGATAACTCCTTGATTCAGAAACGCCTTGGTAAATACTGGTTCACTTAACAAAACAAGAAATGGACTTGTTGCATTTGGGTGTTTAACGCTAAGATGGGCAACTATTCTTATTGATCTCTGGAGAATAGTAGTGATTGGTTAATAATCTCTACTTCTGTCTTTATAGTTTAATACAAAGAAAGGTGGAAGTAACTTTCATTATAAAGTATTGAAAACCAGTGTAAAGAATCAAATTTTAGTATTTTAAATCTGTAATTTTAAATGTAAATTCCTTGACCTTTAATAGATCAGTAGATCTTTCAGTAATGAAAAGGTGCTGCAGCAGGAAAGAAGCTTATCATACATAGCTCTGAAGTTTCAAATTTAATATTAGACAGTGTTTGTCTCTTAGACCTTCATGGTCTGGTAAACAGACTTTTTAAAATTCCTGTCAGAAGAACTGGCTAGTAAAAGCCATTGGTGTATTTAGTAAAAACAAAGCATGGTGGTCAGTTGTCACTTGTTGCTCTAGGAGGCTCCTCCTTTCCCAGCTGTGCCAGAAATGAAAGCAAACACTGATGTCTCTTCCATTTTTGGCACTTGATTTGTGTATCGTTTCAAATTTGACTGTCATGTTTGTTCTTTTTCCAGTGCAATAGGTAATCAGATTCTAAAGGTACAAGTATTAGCTATAATCACTTTCTTTTTTAGCATTGTATTTTACGAGCAGTTAACTCGTAACGTGCCGCTGAAGATTCTGGAAAGGGATTAAGAAAACAGGCTGTTGCATTATTCAACAGCATAAGTAGTTCAGTGAATTTCCCTGAGCTACACATAGCTAGGGTTTAAGTGTATTTAATCTAGCTTTTCTTCAAAGAACACAGTCTTATTTTCCTAAGATTCACTAAGTGGGGTTTGTTTGTTGTTCCTTACTGCTGGCTACAAATATTCCAACAGTTGAAACTGATCCTCTTGCCTAATGTAACAACTAAATAATGTTGAGTTGGCTGCAGCTAATCTATTTTAATTGGAAAAGTCAGTCACTGGGTGTTGTGACAGAGCGGGTGCTTTCTGACTTCCTGAAGTTTATCAAAATAAGTAGGTATGACAATAATAACTTGATAATTTTTAGCCTGTCATTGACCAGTGGCTCTGTAGCCCTTCTGAAAACGACGTTTCTGAATTTTAGGAAAGCTTGGTATCATCTGCATGGAAGATGTGATCCATGAAATTTACACTGTTGGCAAGAACTTCAAAGTTGTGAACAACTTCCTTTGGCCCTTCAAGTTGTCCTCTCCTCGGGGTGGAATGAAGAAGAAAACGATCCACTTCGTGGAAGGTGGGGATGCTGGTAACAGAGAAGATCAGATCAACAGACTCATAAGGAGAATGAACTAATGGTGAGATATTACCAAAGGTTAATACTATCCACTCTTCTACCTCTGCTGTGTAGCCTGCTGCCATTACTGGTTGAACATTCAGGTTTAATACGTATTCACTCACGCTTGGGTGGTATCTACAATATAAAGCTACTTGGACAATACAGTGTTCTGATTTTATTTTTAAAGTCTTACTAAAGCTTCAAAAATCTTTAAGAAATTAAATCGTTATTGTAGCTGATCTGTTTAGGAAGTATAACCATTACCAATAACTTATATTTCATTTACCAATAATTTGTTTTAAAACCTTATTTGGGTTTTATGATGGGAAGCCTTGAGATCTTGACTAAAATCTTCAACCCTTACTAATGAATTCTTAATATGATCAAAGTCTTGTGATTGCAAGTACAGTGTTTTTTCAGATTGGCTGATTTCTGCTATAAAAGCCTGTTTAGGACTGGAAGAAATAAAATTTTCTATTTAGACCATTTTAATGGTTTGGGTTTTTGGGGTTTTTTTGTTTTTGTTTTTTTTAGAAATGAGATGTGCAGTTTGCTTAGGAATTTCCAACTTCCAGAGGGTTGGTTAATAAAAAATAGAGGGTGGTGATGTGACTTCACAGCTTAAAACAGGTCCAGTTGTTGTTTGGATGAGTTCTCAGAAATTAAATTTTACTGAAGGGAGGGAAGTCATCTTTTTTCTTTTTTAAAAGGCTTAAAAAAAAAAAAAACTTTTTATAGCCAACAAGGCATAGCACATTGAGGTCATCGAGGTCTGCTGTCTGTCCAAGGAGCTAAAGGAGACCTATGAAATATCTTTCCATTTGACTGACAGCTTTTTTTTTTTTGAAGCTTTTTTGTACCTGTTCTTCCTCGGTTTCCACTCCCACGAGCTTTTTGCATGTCGCTTTGTTGTCTCCATCTGTGAAGCAGCAGAGCTTTAAAGCACTGGTTACATGGCATGTGGAAACCTGCACTTTAGGAAGATAGTTGCTTACTGGGGGCAGTTTTCTTCTAAAGCTTTTGAGCTCAGCTGTGGGAAGAAGTGGGTAACTTTGAGAAGCAGAATTGCTGTTATGTTTGGTGCCTGGGGTGATGTTACATTACTCATAGGAGTATTCTTGTAGAAATTTTGCTGCTGATAGCATAAACTGTTACAAATTCAGTGCTGGCAGATGTTTCCCTTAAGTTAGTGCATGAGGCTTTGCAACCAAGATTGGGCAAAACTACTTCCACTTTCATGCTCCTGTCTGGTTTCTGGGCATAAGATGGAAACTGCTATATTTAATTGAAACCCTGCAGTGTTTCTGTCAGTGTAGATTCTTTCTCCTCCATCTTCCCTGACAAACATCAGAAGTTTACTGGTGGTTTGAGTTTTCAGAAGCCTTCCTACAGAAGGGAAGCTGCTAATTTGCTATTGCAGTGGCTATAAATGTCTCTGAGGAGTATTGCATTGTCAGAGAAACTAGGGATATTCAGCTGGTTGCTCCTGTTTTTCATTGGACTTTTAGCTCAGCATCCCATGTAAGTAGCAGACATCAGAGCTTTACTCCATCTTTCAATTTAGGAAGTGACCTTGCAGTTTCTTACTCTATGCCTGTAAGCAGTTAGTTGTTCTCTTGGACTGCTAACAAACATACCTCTGGTCTAAAGCTAAGATAACTGATTGTTCTCGTCTCCTGCACTTTCTATTCCTGAATACAAGTAACCTACATGTAGAAAATAGGAAAACATTGTAGTTTCTACTGAGGTAATGGACAACTGGAGGAGTAGGTTCAGATGAGATATTGGCAGTACTCTCAGTACTGTCAGTCTGAAGGGCCGTGTATCTGAAGATGAGTATTTATTCCTCTTCCCTATATGTAGATGGTTTCCTGCTACTTGTCTTTGTCTTATTACTTAAGTGGTAGTCTCAGATAAATTTAAAAAAAATTAAAGGCCTCCAGTACCGATTCCTCAATGTAGATTGGGGAAAAATAGCATAGTACTTGATACTGAATAAATACCCGGTTGTGCCCTTCTATGCTTTCAGAAAAATAGGAGAATATTTACCAATAGTTCAAGGTAGAAATGTTTATCCTGTTAGTTCTGGCACTTGAAATCTGTATTAACATCTCTTCACTCAAAACACAGAAGTTACTTGTTGTGTGCAAGACTACTGAAGTCTTAAATCCAGTGAAATAAAATTGGTATTTTCAGCCTAAATTATAAACTGTAGAAATGTATTAATTCTTCGTGCGGCCAAAGTAGTTTCAGATCTACATAAGTCTAATGATAATTTTTTTTTCCCTTTCAGATTCAGATGCCCAGCAGCAGTCTTTCAAACTCTGACTCGTTAATAAAACCATCTTGCACAAAACTGTGTCATCTTGATTGGTCTCTTTGTGATACTCTTCTCTAGTGGTGGCGGTTGCTAAGTTAACTTTGGAGTAACCTGCTTCAAAGAGCCATGTGTAGTTTGAATTAGCAGTATAGAGATTCATTAGTTTCATTAGTATGTAGATTCATACTATCGATGTACTATTCATAATCTATGTACTATTCATTAGTATATAGATTCATAGTTTCATCTTCATTTGGAGGAAGAAAATTTGGAAGGATTCATGCAGGTAACAGATTAGGTTTTGAGTGGCAACAATTATTTATTTTTGTTGTGATTAAAAGTACAGTAAACGACACTGAGCTCTATGCTGTTGAGTGGACAGGATTCCTACTCAGTTGTAGTGCACCAGAAAGCTGTGTGAGAAGATTTTTCTATGAAAAAAAGAGGTGAGGGTAAAACAGTTCCTAACATGTTAAGATCCTGATTTTAAGATCATCGTAATTACTTCCAGCTCTGAACAAGTTCAGGTATTTTGTACCAAAGGAAACATTAAATACTTTACAAAATAGCAAATTACTTTCCACATTCTAGATAATTACTCAGCTTTACATAATTTGTTTGCAGTGTTTTATTTCAGATACTATAGAAGTGGAGACCACAGGATTCACAAGGATATGAATAGTTGTTGCTCATGCGTAGGTCTAACAGAGTACAGATTAGAAACCCAGGGACTGGTGAAATGCCTAACTCAGTTTGCATGCAAGCTGACCTCGTCTTGTGAGCGCTTCCCTGAACAGATCAACAAGTCACGTCTGCTCTGACTGAAATGCTGTTCTCAGCTACAGGCAAGCTGTATTTACATACTTCACCAATGAAGGATGCCCGTTTAAAAATCACTGGCATTGATTATATTTTTTCCAATTTGTGCAAAAGCTTATTTCTGCACTTTAGTTTAACTAAAACTTTTTAACAGCATTGCTGGTTTATTAAAGCTGTCAAAAGCTAGTTTTGTTTTTAAATAACTTCGGAAATTATGATAGTGGCTAAACTGAAAATTGTTGTGTGCTTTTGTTTGTTAATGTGTCAGGACATGGGCAAAAGCTGAGTGTCCGATGGGTCAGTGTTTCCAGATACTCGAACAACTGAGTTCTACAACCTAAAGTGACAGTTGCCCTATCGTGAGTTGAGCTCCAAAATGTAGTAGCAGCTTGTGTCGAAATACGAAAGTACCAACACCTTTGTCCATTTTAGCTAATAACCACTAAATCAGAAGAACTTAGCAGTTCCTTACAGCTGTTCAGTGCAAGTAATTCGACTACTGATACATGCTTGAAAAGGGTTTACTGAATGAATGAGGTGAAAACTATAAAAGTACTTAAATTTGTCAGGCATCTTTGTAAAGTGATAAGCAGTATTATTTACAAAGAAAAACTTTTTCATAAAGTTGCTGAATGAAGGGAAAAAAACCTTACAGTGAAAATTATAATAACCACTTTGCACTATTAATGGGAAACCTCGGTTCTCGTCTTGATCTTGTAATGTAAATCTGACTCCTTTCAGCTTAAAACTGCACCAAACAGCAATGAAATCCAGGTATTGGAGGATGTACCTGAGAAAAGTTTTGTTGACCTTGGTATCCTTGTTTGTTTCAATTGGTAGCGTTCTTCCATTACTTTGCTACCAGGTGTTGAGTTATTTCCCTTTGACTCATACGCATGTTCTAGTATATTCTGAACAGAAAAGCGTTTCATGGGTATAACGAAGCCATACAAATGCGTAGCAAACTTTGTATGATAGGTGCAGAGAATAAAAGATTAACTCATGAAGTTAATCAGTGCCGCAGGACCTTGCTGGTCCGATAGGAATGCTCTGTAGGTTAAATTTTGTTTAAAGGATTACATGCACTAAAGCATTAGCGAGGAGAAAGTTAATTTGGTCTTCATGCTACTCGAGCAACTAATTTTTCTTACCTGCCTCTGAAGGCATTTTCAGATAACAGCTACAAAATGTTAATACATAGTGTGGGAACTAATATTAAAGTGTAGCTGTGGTTAAGCCGGTAATCCTGCGTAGATGGTCACCTTTTATACTAGCATAGCTTTCAGGTTTTTTAGTATTGTTCTTTAGGCATACCCCATAGTAGGGAATTGCAGAAACAGCTCATGATCTGATAGTTAGGGTCAGAATTTGCTGTGGAAATGAGACACGATTCACTCAGTGCATGAGTAGTACGTTTTGGAGCATTCATGAGGTAACCTGAGTTAAAAATGTAGCTGATGAAGACAATCACTCGGTCCCTAAACAATAAATAATGCAGATCCTTTGTCAACATTCTATGGTAAAGTTCGGGTTCTTGCGAACATGCTCTTATTTTCTCACTGTCCATAACTGCCAGCTGCTGACACATTCTGGAATAAAATTTCTATGAACTCTTATCCTTGTTCAGAATGACCAACATCTTCCTTTTTTTTCCTCAGAACTGAAGCCAGAAGCTTTACCTAATAGCTGTTGGAGAAGCAACAGGAGACTGTTTGAAACGCTAACAACTCACAAATTTTTCAGGCATGCTGAGGTTTATAGGCTTTACAGTTAATTGGTATTCCTTTTTTCGCTGGTGTCCAGCTCATACAGCCTGTTTCACTATCACCAAGTGTAAAGTCATACATCTGGAAATGGAATGGGAGCCTGTCCCAAGAATCAGTGTTTTGAGAGAAAGTTAGGAGACGTGATGGATAGTCAGCTGAACATAAGCTCCCACTTGGCCAAATGCAATTCTTGGATGCATTAAAAAGGGAATATCAAATGGTAGGGGGGAGGTAACGTTACTTTTGTTCCAGTAGTGCTTACACTAGTGCCAAATGCAGTATCCAGTTCTTGTGCCAAAAATCAAGCACATGCCTTACAATACTTGGAGAGCTTAATTTATTCAGTTTAAAGGCAGACATGGTTATGAAATGAGTATCTACCTATAATTACCTCCGTGGAGAAAAGTAGTTTGATAATGGAGAATTCTTTGATCTAACAAAGCTATAGTAGGATGAAATGTCCTGAAATTGAAGCCAGATAAATTTTGGCTTTAAGCAAACAATTTTAATGGAAGATAATTAGACACTGGAACACTTAACCAGTGGTGTGCCAGATTCTTTGTCAGTGGTCATTCCTAAGTTGAGGTTTGGGTGTTTTTCTTCCTCTAAAGCGTATGCTATACTTGGAAGAGATTTGTTGAGGGCAGTCCTGGAGCCTTTCTTACTCATAAGTTACTAAATGCAGGCTCTTTAGGTACTCAAGGGATACAAGTTAGAGCTTTGTTTTAAGATGTCCGGCTCCCCAGAGTGGAAATCAGAACTGTGGATGAGGTGGGTGTAATGTGCTTCACAAGGGAACTTGGACTAATGCAGCATGCCATGTAGCAGGTCGCCTAAACCTTAGCATAAATAGAGGCCAGGAGAGGGCTGGTAGGACTTCGTATACCTTTTATGGGCTTTGCTGCTTCTGCCTGTTTGGAATCCAGATCTCACAGCTCTCTCCTGAGGACTGGGACCCATGTTTTTTTCAGAGAATTAAGCACAGCTTACTGTCAATTCTGAGTCCCCAGCGAGCAAAGTGGTGTCCCTGCTTCACACAAGAGCTGGTTCGCTCACACCTAGGAAACTGGATGCATGAGTTTTGTTCAAACCATTCCTTCCATCTCTCAGTTTCCAGAAGACTGTCCTTTCCACACAACTGTAGGTGAGAAAATCTCTGCATGTTGCCCCTTATTGAAGTTGTGCCAAAGTCTAAGGCAGAGAGAAAACCACGATTTAAGCTTAGATTAGGAAACTGCAGAGCAGACAGAGATACAAATCTGAAAACAGCTGAGCTTAGAACGGAAGAAAATTTTAGTCTCCCAAATCCCAGGTGAAATGTTCTGCTCAATTGGTTTCATTAGGTGTGAGTTGTAGTGGGAATTTCTGTCTTCAGGGATCTTTAACATGATTGTGTCAGTTGTCTTTTGTGAAGTTCCCATTCTTGGCATACTTGTTTTTTCTAAAAGCTTTTGTACCATACCAGACTACTCCAGGCATCTAGGATCCCAAGAATAGCTGTGCCCTGCCTAAATGCAGGTTTAGATATAAGCGGGCTCTTACATGGTGCAGTTTTTCATGACTGAAAAGCCTGAAAAGTCAAGTACTGAGCTCATGAATTGCAAGTGCTAAGAAAGAACAAGGATGTTGAGAAACAATTTTCTACAGAAAGCTTCCATCATTTTTCAGTCTGTAGGTGATCACACCAGCCGTTTCTAGCCTGATCTGTGAAAATAAGTACTTGTGACCTTGGTCATATTGCAAGTAAGAGCAAATTTTCAAAGTTCAGAGCTGTAAGCAATTCTCCCTGAATTATTTTTCTAAAGATAAAAAACTCCACAAAACGAGTTTTTTATCTGCTCAGTATTTCTTCATATAAACTATTCATTGCACCAAATATCTTTCATTATGAGATAAGTAGGTACTTGGTTGGAGGAAAACAATGAGAAATAAGGGAGTGTACAGTCATAGGGCCACGGGATGTATATGGGGAAGAAGCCACATGCAAAGTAAAATCTAGGGTAGAGGAGGAAAAGGGAGCAGAGGGAGGTATAAGCAGCAGTATTACTCCTCGCTTGCTTAGCACTGTTTTGGCAGTGCAGAGAGGCTGTAAATCCAGTTTAACTAGCCAGCATGCCACATGCTTCACATGCTTCCCATCCTGAGTTGCTCTGGCAGTCAGAGGCACTCTGTACAACTTAACTAGTCTTTGGAGGCTGCCTGGAGCGCGGGCTGGCTGTGGTGAATGTGTGCTGCCCAGGCCCTGCCGCGGTGTCGTGAAGCTCTACCCATGGCACGTTTCCACTCCGACTGCACTTTGTTAGGACCTATGCAAGGATTACTGCACTCTGCCATATCTGATGGCATCTGTTATCCGCAACATTATGCTCTTTTTTTATTGCACAATAAAATTCAATTGACGTTTCCAAGTCTTGATCGCTCTGAATATCTCATGTATATAATACAACAGTAGTAC